GCTATAACTTGCTCACTTAATATATTTTTAGTGGGAAATACAAGACAGTCCCATCATCCACTGCAGCTCACACTCATTTGTTTACCCATGAAAACACTTATATATAAGTTTTCTCATAATTATTTTGCACATCTCTCTGCACATACGAAGGAAGAGTTCTCATATTCAAACCTGGAGACTTTCCTGCTCTAAACTGTCTCCCTACCTCTTTTGCAATCAGGTAAAATAGCAATGATGTAAGAGTTTGCTGGGAAGGTTGGGGATATAGCTAAGTAAGCACTATTCCAGTATATACAAGGCCTTAGATAAACAAACAAATAAATAGCAGAATATGCCATTCAAAATCATTCAGTGTGCTGAAACTATATAAATAAAGTTTAAACCAGTTTAAAAACACTGTTGGTTCTCTGTTCACCCTCTTCTCCTGGTCAACAGAGTGGAGGTACTCAACTAAGAACTTCAGCACTGGAGGTTCTAGATTTCAGTTTCTACCCTCGAGTAAGCTGCACGGTTCTAAGGTGAACTCTGGAAACTGTAAAAAAAAAAAAGTCAGCTCATGAGAGAAGACAGGTTTGAATGACTTAACTGGCATAAAATGTTCCACATCGCCCATCTGTTCTCAACAAAGAACTGAAATGCGACAGAAATCCCAATCAGGAGCTTTCAGTCTCCTTTACAAGATGAAGTTGGGACCCTAAGATAGTCAGCTAAAGTAACGGGGCGGGGAGAGGGGAGGCTTGAGAGGAGAGAGTTAGGAGGGCTGGTGGTTCCCAGAGAAATAGGACTGTGGGGCTCCCTGGCGCAAAGTTACTGCAGAAAATAACCCTGATGTATCTGAATCTCCCCTATTTGTGTCATCATCTGACATGACTTGACAGCTCCATTAAGGCTTTTTCTTCCCTGACAGAGAGACGTTTTAAAAACTGGGTTCACTGTTGAAGTAAGTCAACCCCGAATATCAAGATGGCGGAAACAACAGCTGCACTTTCCTTCATTATATCTGCCTTATGTGCACTCTGCTGGTAAGGTGTTTTCATCTTGAATCTCACACAAGAACTTGGACCACATTAATCGTATTAGAGTGCTATAGAAAGTCCAGGCTGGAACTTTATAGTTATCCCTGGTGTCATCATTGATGAAATCAAAGGGTGCCTTTGGTCTCTCTCTTCCATGGCCTTCCAAGCTCTAAAGAAACTCCTGTCCTCACACAGCAATTACACTCTGCAGTTAATGTGAAATGGTGAGCAAGACTCTCCTTCCTTCTCTATTTCTAAAATGTCTGTGATTGATATCAGTAATAATTTATGCAAACCCAACAACCAGTCACTTCCAGGAGTGCAAATGGTGTGGAGTCAGCATACAGAAGAGCCAGTTAGCCTCGGGCCTTATTCACACTGTATATGAAGATGATAATAAGTGGTTATTCTGAATGCATTATTCGAAATGTACATACTTCACCCAGATGCAACTTGCATTCTGTGCTCTGTTTCCTGGTCTGGCCATTACACCTCAAGTAAAAGGAGCTGTACAAAGCTAAAGAAGGACCAAACCTTTAACATGAAAAAGGAATACTTCATGCCTCAAATCTTTCTAGAGAGGTTTAACTCAACCTCAGAAACACGCTCATCCCTAGAAGCATCTGGATGAGACCTGCTTTGAAGCTTGACATCAGTTTGACTTGTGGCCTACAGTAGAGACTTTAGTGACAGCCCCACCCTCCAGCATTCTCTCCTGATTAAAAAGAAACAAAACTCTAAACACAGCATAAAGGAGATGATACCTTCCTTCTCTCCAAGCATAAGAACTCTGAAAAGACAAAGCATCTCCAGTAAGTTCAGCCACAGCTGGAAGGAAACCTGAGCACAGCACAAAGGTTAGGAGATAACTGGTCATAGGCATCCCTCGACCTAAAAACACATGAATGTAAAGACGCACTTACATACTCAGTCAAGTCATTTACTCCAGAAGACATCTACTTCTGATTTCTTTTTATTGAGGTTACATTCAGAGTGGAAGAGTTCCCAGGAAGGACTATAATGGACACACGAGGGTTACCCACGGAATTAGTTTTTAATAAAAGAATTACTACCTTCTCTTCCATACATTCTAAACACAACAAATTACCTTTTCATAAATTTGTTTCTTGTGTATATCACACAAAACGAACTTTCTGTAGAAATCTGAAGGATAGCTAATTTAGTAATTATTCATCCACCTGGTCCTGCAACATTCGGCATGCCATTGTCAACTTTCTCACTGTTAATTTTCTAAGGAGCAATTTTGTTTTCACATGCCCCAAGGCCAGGTGCTTGCTTCAAGCATAAACTCAGTTTGAGAAAGAAAGAAAGTTCAAAGCAGCAATAAATTTTAAACAGTATCACCAGAACTCTAATGTGCACTGCATCTCCCCTTATTTGAGGGTTTGTTTCTCTCAAGTACTTACTAGCTGTCTTTGTGTGTGTGTGTCTGTCTGTGTGTGTGTGTAAGAGAGAGAGAGAGAGAGAGAGAGAAAGAGAGAGAGAGAGAAATCCCAGAGGGCAGAAAAATACTTCATTAATCATAAAGCAGACCTTTTCACATGTGTTCAGTTCAGTCTGGTAAGGTATTTTCATCTTGAATCTTTCGAACTGTGTAACTCTTTCTAGAAAGGTTTTCAGTTCAAAATCATAATGAGCATATGCTTTGACAGACCACAAGATACTGTTGACAGTGGTATGTGTAAAGGCATTGGACCAGCCTCAGCATAAACGTTTGAGGTGAAACACCTCCATTTTATCCATTCCACGAATGACCCATCAATGTCCTCACTATCACCTTCTCCAGATGAAGTGTAATTTATAGAGCTTAAGAAAAACAACAGTCATGTTCTAGGCTACTGTATTTATCCAATTTTATCAAAAGAAGAACATTTGTATCAGACTTACATGAGATAATTATGCCTTGAAGAATGATTTCAGAAAAAAAATCTTTGGAGGGAGATATTTGTGTTTTAGTAATTACACAAGTATGTATATGTACAAGAATTACAGGAGGAGGGCAGCCTTATGGCTAAAGTCAATTAAAACCAAATATGATTGGGAATGGATCAGTTTTTTCTGTTTCTTTTCTTTTCTTTGAATGTTGAATCAGGCACAAGTCTTAATATTCCTTTTGTCAACCATAAACATTTTAAGGTGGAGACCATTCCTACCAACTCATTCTAGTGAAAGTGTTACATAAACATCAAGAAGATACCCACCTTCCTTTTCTGCTGGGACCACTCCTACCTACTCTCTCAAGTGAAAGTGTTAACAGTAATACCAAGAAGATGATACATCTTCCTTTGATGGGACCATTCCTACCCATTCATTCAAGTGACAGTGTTACAGAGGAACATCAAGAAGATGATCCAACTTCCTCCTTATATTAACTTTCAAAACATTAATTTATGGTGAGTTTTAAAGATTCCTTAAATAATAATACGATGAGGCATTTTCAGAGTGATGACATCATATCTTAAATACCTGCTGATACCTACCAAGATACTCCTATGCTGTTCCTGAGAGCAAAAGATCCACAGAAACACAACATAAAAGATCTCTTTGGTTAAAGAAAACAAAAATAAGTCCATTTCAATTCATTTACAAATAGAAGAAAGAGAAAGCATTCATATTCAGAATACCAGATTATGTATCATTATTTAAATAACAAAGTTATTTAGACACACTTGTAGGCTTGTGGTTAAATATTAACTACAAATCTGAACTTTAAAATGCAGTTAATTCAAATATTAGAGAAATCCACTCTTTCAATTCTGTTCAAAACTGTTAAAACAAAATAGTCAGAAGTCATAATTACCATAATTACTTCCCAAGTGGCTTCTATATCACTAGTCTCCATGACAGAATAGACCACTGAGAACCAATCCATTTACTCTGGTCAGTGTTCTTTTCTCACAGAGAATATTGATTCCCTCCAAGGTGAGCATCGAGTCATTTTACGCAAATGTTGTATATTAAATCTACTTAAAAGATATATGGGGGATTTATTTCTAATTTTTGAACCATAACTTTCAATTACAACCCACACTTTCAAAGGAGATACAAACTATTTTCAATTTATTTATAAGACTAGAAAGCGGCATATATTCTTCATCACTTCCCTATATTGGCATTAACTTTGAGGTGCTTCCTCTTTGCTACCACACACAACCAACAAGGAATGATTTTAAAGGTGCAACTTTAAACTGTGTTTATAAAAAATGACTGTTATACTGGGTTGGGTTCTATTTAATACTCCCCCAAAAATATTAAATAACACAAATATTTGTTTTAAAAACTTCTCATTGTCTAACTGAGATTATAAGACTTTTGGAGAAAAGTTTCTTGTGGTTATGACACAATATCTTGCAGGTTTGATCCAAACAGTATACTTTATCGCCACATTTAAAGCTATAAAATTCATGAAACTCTTTTCAGTAACCCATAATTGGATTTCTTTTTTAATTAGCATCTATTTGACAAGTTCTTAACTTTAATAAAGGAACTTGGTTGGCACTCATCATGTAAATAATCACTGAATAAATTAATCTCATTTTTTTTCCAGAGGAAATTGCAGGAACATCACCACCTGTCAAAATCTCAAGCTTTGATTTATCCTGAACTAGTCCACCATAGGTGTAAATATTAATGATCTCGCTTCCAGCCCCATCCCACCCAGCCCTTTCCTACTCCATTTCCGGATCCCCATTCTTCTCCACACCCCCTTAAGGTTTATACTATTTGATGGTTTTTTGTTTGGCTAAAAATCACTGTATCTCCAGGAAGCATTTAAAGCTAAACATCAACAGGAGAAAAAAAAAAGAAAGAAAGAAAAAAAGGTTAAGACCCATCTAACAAATATATAGGAGATATATCTTGGGTTACTCAGCCTGGAGTAATCCTTGTGTGCAGAATTTAGAATGGAAACATTACACGGAGGTCATTGATAACTTTAGAAGAGCTTGACTTGAAAATTCTCACCTTCTGAGCTGCTTTAGAGGGACTCTTGTTTTTGCTGCCTTTGGGTCTTCCCCTGGGTCTCTTAGGAGAGGGTTCACAGGTTGGCTCCTAATTGTAGGGAGGAAAGAAAAGCTGTTGTGGCTAGACCGCCTGAAAGAAATTGACCCTGACTCTGGCTGTGTTTTTGCATGTGCTGCAGCAGCAACCTGCTGGAAGCCATTCAGTTCACGCATAGCTGGATGACGACGGTGGAACGGTCTTTAAAAAGGGAGGGGAGCATAACTACAGTTTGAACCGCAGTACTCAAGGAGGAACCCACTTTACACCTGGAAACTGGATTACATTTCAGAATCAAAACGATGGCAAAGCCCGAGAAAAGTTAGTTGCACGTTCTAGAGAGTCGTGTCTTTAAGGTCCAAAGCCTACATGGCTCTGCACTTGAAAACTCACAGAAATAATAAACATTTTATACGACTACCACTCTCCCTTCTACCGGGATTTCAAACAACAGAAATAGCTGTAGGTGGCTGGAAAGATAGATGGAGACAGCCAAAGAATGGCTGCAACCACTCCTGTGTATCTGTGGTCCAGGTGGTTTGGGATTGAACCCATCTATTCTGAGGGAAATACTGGAGCGATTATCCATATTCTTCAGGTCAAAATAATTCCACGCCCCCTAAAACTTCCAGATGATTATGGTAAATCTGGGGTGGAAAGTTTTGCCTGGATTGTCTAGATAATTGCTTCAATTCTCCACTTCCTTTTTGGAGAGACGAGCACGGGCTCCAGTCGAAACTTAAACGTCTTTTTGCAAAAATAAACATGTTGTCTTCAAAACTTAAAAAAAAAAAAAGAAAAAGAAACCCTGGGGGGTGTGAACTGAGAAGAGGGGGGAGTGGCGGGGAGAAGAATTTAAGCATTCTTAGAAGGAGAAGTTGAAGCAGCCACGAGGTCACCAAGTATATGAATGTTTTATTTTCTCGTGGGCTAGGCTAAGCAGCCAGTGCTCAAGCAGTTCCGAAAATGCGAGGACAGATACACCGGGGACGCCGGCCGCCTCTCCCCTCCGGTGAATCATCTCTCCTTTCATTCAGACTGGGTGCTTAAATGAGACTAATTACAACTCAATGGAAAATCGCATTTTAGAGAGCGCGCGCGCCCGTGTGTGTTGGGGTGGTGGTGGTGGTGGAATCTTAAAAAACGTCCATCGGATTCCAGCGCCAGCGGGCACTTAGGAGCCAACCCATCGGGAACACATTTTTCTTTGTGATCTCGGCATTAATTCAAAGGTAAAAAAACCCCCAGCCACCTCCGGGTCCCCTTGGGTTTTCTTTTAGGCTTGGAGGGGGGTGCTTGGGGGATGGGGGGAAGGTGCGATTAGCAGTATTCGGAAAGGCTGGGTGGTTGGTGGGGTGCAAGGGGGTAGAGCCGAGACTTCCTGGGAGGTGTAAAACAGGGTCCAGAGGCAGCGAGGAGTGTCGCGGAGGGCAGAGCGGGAAAACTCCGGGGCCTCCAGCTCGGTCTGTCTCCTCTGGTGATTTCCAAAGGTACACCCCAGGTTTGTCCAAACCACGCGGGCAAACAGTCTCCGGTTTTCCACCCAGCCCTCAGGGGGACAGTTGGGGACTCTGGGATCATTTTCTATTCGACCCTATTTGCCTGAAGCGAGATCTGAAGCAAAAAGAAGAGATGAGTTTTGTTTTTGTTTTTTGTTTTTTTAAGGCCGGGAAGCGCGGGGTCGAACTGTTCTCAGCAGTCGCGTCCCTGGACTTGGAAATTGCTGGGGAGCCCCCCCACTCCACCACCACCACGACCCCCGCGCCCGCCCGCCCGCCCCCGGGCCCTGGGCGCTGCGCACAGCTCTGCCCTAGCCGGCTGCACGCTTAATTGGTTGCATCCGCAGACAAAAACCTCCATTCGGCGGGGTCCGGGGTGCCCGCGACCGTCCCCTCCCAGCCCCCAGCCATCCGCCCAGGAGGACGCTCAACTCCGGCTGCTTGGAGAGCCAAAGGGGGCCGAGGCTCCCGGCGGGGAAGCGACCCCGGCTACCGTGCGCGCTGGGGGCTCTCCGGAGGAAGCGCGTTTCCCGGGCTCGCGGGGGGGGGGGGGGGGAAGAGTGCGCTGGGATCTCCCCCCCTCACCCCCGGGCTCCCAGCCGCCAGCCCCAGCGGCTGCAGCGAGGCAGGGGTCTTAAAGACGCCGAGGGGCGCCCCGGCGGGCCGCCGGCTCCGCACGCGCTCTTTGTCGGGAGGGCGCGAGCCCCAGGGCCGCGCGCGGGCTTGCGGGGAGGGCACCGAGGGGGCGGCCGCGGCCGGGCAGCCCCCCGCGGCCAGGCGGTCACGGGCAGCCCCGGGGAAAGCGGCCGGTCTCCGAACCTCCGACCCCCCCCCTCGCCCCCACCCCACCCCCGCCGCAAGGGTGCAAAAGCGGCCGACAAAGCCACGCTCTCCGTCCGTGGGACCACAGGGGGCTCTCCCCGTCCCTCCCCGTTACGCACGCCACCGAGCCGCGCCGGGGGCCCCCCGTGCACAATAGCGAAAGTCCCTCCCGGTCCGCGCCTCGCGGGACCCCCACCTCCCCGGCAGGGTAGCTGGGGGGGGGGGGTGGACCGAGCCGAGCGGCTGGGGAGTCTCTGGCCGGGCCGGCTCGCTCTCCCGCCTCCCTCCCCCCCGGCCGGCTGGCGGGCCGGCGTGGTCCCCGCGCTCCCGCGCTCCGCTCGGCCGGCGTGCCGCGGGGGGCCGCGGAGGGCACGGGCGCCGCGGGTGGGCTGGGTCGGGGGGCCCCCTCCCGCGCCGGCGTTACTGACTTGCTGCTGCTTCCTGGGTCGGCCGCGTCCTCGCTTCTGGGGCGCCGGGGCGGCAGGTTGTCCCTGGGCTGAAGTGGACGGCTGCCCGGCGCCTTCGCCGCGTGCGCTCATCCTGCCTCCCGCCGCCGCCGCCGCCTCCGCTACAGCCGCCGCCGCTGCCGCCGCTCGGCCTCCGCGGCCCCGGGTCCGCCCGGCACCTTTCGGGGAGACGGGCTGGAGAAGGGCCGGAGAGAGTAGGGGCGGCGAAGAGCTGGCGCGCGCGGAGGGCTGCGGCTGCGGCTGCTCAGGCTGCCGCCTCTGCCACCATCAACACCGGACGTCCAGCGGCTGCCAAAAAGAGAGAGAGGGGAGGAGGAGGAGAGGAGGAGGAGGAGGAGGAGGAGGCGCTGCGGGCGGTGGGTGGCGGAGGTGGAGGTGGAGGTAGCGAGGGGAGGCGGGAAGCGGAGGAGAGGGAGAGTAGAAGGTGGAGAGGGCTCCCCTCGCCACCGAGGACCGGGAGCTGCGGGTGCTGGGGCCGCGCTCGGCTGGCGGCTGGGAAAGGGGGGAAAGAGGCTGGGAGGAAAGTGTGTCCCTTGAAATGCTAGGCGGGGAAGGAATGCCTCCTCCCACCCCGTGGAGAGAGAGAGGGAGAAAGAGAGAGCACACGGGGGGACAGAGAGTCGGGGACAAGGACGGGAAGACAGGCTGGTGCCGTCGGAGAGCAGGGGGAAGGTTCTGCCCGGGCGGGAGGGCACTCAGCTCAGCTAGGGCAGGGCACAGAGCAGTGGGTGGCACCGCGCCTCCTCGGGTGGCGGGCGGGCAGGCGGCGGCGGCACCGCAGAGTCGCGAAGGGACAGGCTGCTGCTGGCCTTCGGCGTTCTGCGCCCGGTGCGCACAAAACTGCCGGGGCTGGAAGTTTTCAGAGTTCCTGCCCAGGATTCGAGAGGGATGAGTGTGCGTGGGTGTGCGTCTGTGTGTGTGTGTGTGTGCGCGTGTGTGTGTGTGTGCGCGCGCGCTCGCCCTTGCGGAGGGGGTGACGGGAGGCGGGGAGTGCCCACCTCTGCTCGTGGGCGGATGGAGAGGAGGGGGCTACGGGAGGAGGGGGCGGGCGGGCGAGCGAGCGAGCGAGCGAGGCGGACCGCCGAGCAGGGAGAGCCTGGCCGCCGGCCAGGGCCAGCGTTCGCAGCGCGGCTCGGCGGCGCCCGGGTACCACCCGGAGCCCCGGCTCACGTGCTCCCGCCGCCGCCGCCGGCGGGGTTGGAGAGGCAGGGCCTGGGCTCTGCAGCCTGCCTGCCGCCCGCCCGGTCCCTCCGGCCGCCGGGGACCACCCCAGGACCGGCCGAGGGGAAGCGACCGTCCGGGGGCCTCCCCCCAGGGGCCCGGCCTCTACCTGCGCGTCCGCCTCGGGAGCCCGAGGTCTCCGGAAGCGCCGGGGCCAACCGCCGCCTCCTTCCAGTTCAGCCCCGGGGAAGGGGGCGACCGGGGAGTAGTCGAACCTCCCCCCTACCCCCAAGCTCTGCTGCGCTCTGATGTGCCGGCGCACGGACGTGCACAAAGATACACGCGCCCACGCGGGGGCCCCCACGCACCCTTGCACGCAGCTGCGCGCGCGCACACACACACACACACACACACACACACACACACTCCATTGGTAAACACACATGCAAACAAATGGGAGCTCACGCGCACTCCCAGGCACACGGATGGGCCAGAGAGGACATTCGCAACAAATGGACACACTTGCACGCTGCTCGCAGGAACGCCGAGCGTGCCAGCTCCTTCGTCCAGCTTTTCACTCCTCCGGGGCTGGCTACCGCACACCCGTCTTCGGACTCCTAGAGGCAGGGACCTTAGAGATTCCTCCCCTCGTGACTGCACCAATTACCTAGCTTTTCCTTCACTTTACCTTCCTTTAACCTTCGTCCTCAGAATTCCTTTCTGCCGAGTCCTAACTTCATAGCCTGGGCCATTTCTGTTAGGTGAACACCATCGTGGTCACAATCAGCTTTTAAAAGGTGGAGAGTGTTCTAAAGTGCACCCCCTTTTTCATCCTCGAATAACACAAAACTGAAAGGGGAGGGAGAGCCCTTAGGGTCAGATTTTCACGCATCGCACCCCAAATTGTGCTGGACTTACTCCAAAATAAAAATGTTCACCCTGTGAAGAATATTTTCCTTCAATGATAACAGACCACCGTGGACTAAAAACACCTACTTTGCAGCACTGTGAGCGGGAGCTGGGCTCCGCCAGGCTCCGCGGTATCTGAGGCGCCTGTAAATGTCTGCTTTGCCATTTCAAATCCCTTTCCAGTGCTGGGTGCTCTGCAGGAACCCAGGCAGGGCTGGTGCTGGGTCTGGGAACGCTTAGCCCTGATGGAGAGGGAGAGCCCCCAGCCCCCATACCTCCAGATGGAGTCCAGCAACCAAAAAGCGAGGGAGGGGTCAAACAGGCACCGAAGATTTTGTCAGTGCTTGGCTGAAAGATGGTGTCTTCATCAAAGGGACTGAAATTTCACCTTCAAACAAGTGCACTGACATTTCCGAACTGCCAAGTTTGCATGGTGTGTGTGTGTGTGTGTGTGTGTGTGTGTGTGTGTTCACCTACTTACACTTGAGTGCACGTAATTTACACCTGTCCATAAAGTGAGCTTCTGGCTGGATTCTTGTTTGGTTACATTTTTGCCAGAAGGACAGACAAAGTTCTGGGGATGGATTTAGGCAAAAGCCACTCAGGATTTCAGTCAGCTAATTTTATACTGGGAATTCTGTTACCTCTCTGGATTTTTGTTTGTTTGTTTAATGCACAGAGGCTAGCAAGCAGGAGCTTCCAACTTGAAGTTGTTGTGGTGTATTGTTTTGTTTTGCTGTTGTTATCTGTATGTGTGTGATTTTTTTTTCCCATTAACCTAGAATCTAAAAGAAAAACACAAAAGCTGGAAAATCTAGTCGATTTCATTCCATTTTGCTCTCAGACTTGAACCCTTTTCAGCCTATAGACAAGGACATAAACAAGTTCTGCCTTGGGTTTTATCTAAGTTAGCCTTATACATTGTCATTCTTTTCTTTGATGCCCATAATTTTTTCAAGTTGCTCTAATTTTTTTTTTGCACACAAAGCATAAAATTGTGTTTTTATTTTTAAAATTATTAAGACTTTTATTACTGAATTCCTATCTTCATATGATAATCATTTAAGCAAACTCACTGGCTATATTTTCTTCTTGGCGAAACATTTTCCCATTCACATTTGAGAAGTTTAATTCCCAAATTTAAGTTTCTCATTCATTTACTGTATCTATCTATCTATCTATCTATCTATCTATCTATCTATCTATTTGCTCCTTGATTTTTAGGGTAAGCTTTTCCTATTCTAATATGAGAATATGCCAAGAGGTCTCAGTCCACATTAAATTGTTTCTTTTCTCCATCACCTCCTATCAAATCAAACATTGATTAGCACATTGGCTATATATCTTAACAAACTTTCTACTGATATGTGACTCATGACTTAGATTGGCGCTTAGATCCTTTAAGGACATTAGAAGTGGTAAAATGAAATGAATGGACTCAGAACACAGTTTAAAAAAATAAATAGAATAATATAGAAAATTTGGGGCCAAATCTTTCTCATCACAAACACAAAATTGCTCTAAGATCTTCTGCCCCATACTTTAGAAATTGCAGTGAGAAGGGGCACAACTTTAATTCCAGCAGTCAGGAGGCAGAGGCAAGCAGATCTCAAGGCCAGCCTGGTCTATAGAGCAAGCTCCAGGACAGCCAGGACTACAGAGACACCCTGTCGGAGGGGGGGGGGAAACAAGAGAGACAGAAAGACAGAGATACACAGAAAGAGACAAAGAGAAAGAGAAGAAAAAGAAGAGAGAGACTGGGAACTCAGAATTCATGATGTCTTAGCACTCTGCTATGGTATAATAGGCAGAATCATTTCAATTTTAGTAGTACGCTCGATACAGTGTATATCTAAAATGCATGGACAGTCCTAGCTGAGCCAGGGTCACAATGAGACACTTTTAAATACAACTGACTTGGGCAGTTTGAGATCTAGACCCTTTAAACCCTGTCTTGACTGTCTGCATGGTGTTTAATCAGTCCTTTCTACTCTCCGCATGTCTGTGCTCTCTTTCTAAAGTGTATGCCTGGGTTCTTACAGTTCACTGTGAGACGTGTGACATCTTGTTTTCTAATTGTGTCACGACTATGTGGAAATCGCATGGATGGGCCACTGCCTCATTTTTATTTTTGTCTTGCTAGTTTTATCTAGCTGTGATTTGATTCATAGCAAACTTTGGTAATCATTATTAATTTATTATTAAGACAAAAGTAATTCTAATAAAGTTACAATTTTATAATATATACCACACAGGATAAGAAAAGTTTCCTGCAATAAAACATCTTCAATATTCGTAAAGGAAGATTCATTTGTGATGATTAGGTCAAAATTCTCAAGATTTATCTAACTTTATGTTTATAATTTAATATATTAACATGCTAAAATAACTTATAGATTTTTTTTCTCATAATTGAATCCATTATGGATACATTTTACTATACAGGATTATTATAACCAGGTATTTTGAAAGTGACTCTGTATAGGGTCACAAAAAGATAGCTAATATTTACTAAACAGAAGTTTACACACATACATTTAATTAGAAATGGTACAGTGTAAAATATAGATTCCTGCCTTGAGGAGCTTACACTATAATTTTGCTGAAGAAACATGTCACATGTTTAAAATGAGTTCATTAGCATGGCTCAACCCCAATTGTGTTTCTTCATCCTTAGTATTCAGTGAAGTGTAGAAAAGATTACCTCTGCTCGTTTCCTACAGTGTTACAATGAAGGACTAGCTCTCACCAAGTTAGGCTTCTGTTGGAGGTACAGTATTTGCAGAAACTCCCCACTCCCAAAGTAGGAGAATTACCAAGCAAAGTAAGTATGTTTCGTCAACAAATGTTGGTTTTTAGTGAGCTGAATTCCTATTGAAGCACAAGGAATGTATGACTCATTATTGGTCGTCTGAAGATAGAGGGCCTATGTGACAGGGAATTGTGGGTGATGTTTAGGAGCTGGGAGGAGCTCTAGACCAACTGCCAGCAAGGAAACACGGATCACTGTTCTCCAACAAGGCTTCTTCAAACAGGAGTTAGTCAGTTCTTCCAAAAGCAAGAGTGAGGTTGAAAGCAGACCAACACCTTCCCCACAGGCTTGACAAGAACTCTGCTTGGACAACGTTGATGTCACAGGAACCTGGGTAACTGACTTCTGACTTACACACCCAT